CGCTCATCTCACTCTAGAGGCCGGGAGCCAGCGCCGTCCGCAGACGCTTCTGGGTCACGTGGCCAGTGTGACATCGCTGCTCTGGTGAGCCAGCACCAGAGCAGCACACGGAACGCCGTTTACCTTCCCGCCAGTAAGCGGTCCCTATTTATCTACTTGCACCCGGGGGTGCTTTCGAACTGCTAGGTTGGCAGGCGCTGGGACCGAGCAGCGGGAGCGCACCCCGCCACGGGGATTTGAACCACCGACCTTTCGATCGGCAAGCCCTAGGCGCTGAGGCTTTTACCCACAGCGCCACCTGCGTCCCATGGGTGGGGTATAAATATATTATTATTATTATTATTATTATTATTATTATTATTATTATTATTACTTGTGAGCTCCCCACAACCACCCAACTCCCCACTGTAACTTGGTCAGAGATCCATTCTCAGTCTGCCAAACAGAGCCATTAACCAGAGAACCACCTACATCAGCATTTCCCAAATTCCTCTCCCACATGGGACCGATTGAAAATTGCTTTGGGCCTTAGGGGACCACTTAGCAAATTCTCTATGCCTGGTACTGCACGGTGCTGAGTGCTATATGGTTTTTAATTGCATTTCATTTGCTTCTCCTTTCCTCTCCGTCACCTCTGATCTGTGCTGCTCACCTCGCAGGTGGGCTGCAGTGATCTTAGAACAGCTTGCCGTTCCGTTGCAAGACGGAAAAGAAAGAAAAATTAATATAGAAATAATAAGCAATGATGTTTAAGTGGACGGACAAGGGGATGGCATAAACCTCTTTTGTTCTTTAAGGGAAGATGTTGCTGTTATGTAAGAAGCAGGAATCGATAAAATGATAGCTGGCGAATAATGGGAGAGGAAACAAAAGTAAAAAAAATCAAAAAGTTCCTAATTGAATATAAGGAATGGGATGTGAATTAGAAATGAATATGGTATGTCGAAAGACGCCTGCTTCTTGGGAGAAAAGCAATGACAAACCTAGACAGCATCTTAAAAAGTAGAGACATCACCTTGCCAACAAAGGTCCGTATAGTAAAAGCTATGGTTTTCCCAGTAGTGATGTATGGAAGTGAGAGCTGGACCATCAAGAAGGCTGATCGCCGAAGAATTGATGCTTTTGAATTATGGTGCTGGAGGAAACTCTTGAGAGTCCCATGGACTGCAAGAAGATCAAACGCATCCATTCTGAAGGAAATCAGCCCTGAGTGCTCACTGGAAGGACAGATCCTGAAGCTGAGGCTCCAAGACTTTGGCCACCTCATGAGAAGAGAAGACTCCCTGGAAAAGACCCTGATGTTGGGAAAGATGGAGGGCACAAGGAGAAGGGGACGACAGAGAACGAGATGGCTGGACAGTGTTCTCGAAGCTGCCAGCATGAGTTTGACCAAACTGCGGGAGGCGGTGGAAGACAGGAGTGCCTGGCGTGCTCTGGTCCAGGGGGTCACAAAGAGTCGGACATGACTAAATGACTCAGCAACAAAAAAGCGCCATCTGGCTAGCTCCGTTGGTTAGAGCATAGTGCTGCTGGTAACATCAAGGTTGCAGGTTCGATTCCCATATGGGCATTGCTTAATATTCCTGCATTCTGGCCCAACTCGACAATTCTGCGATTCGAAACTCGGTCTCCTCTGTTTTGCAGCGCCGTTCTCACGACCAAATCACTTCTGCGACCAAATAACACGTAAAAAGGGTGTTCACAGTGTATCTATTGCAACGCTCTATTTCAAGATAGTTGTCGTATATCAAGGTATATACACAAAGTATCAAATGTGGTGACAGTAATAATAATGCAACAAAACAACAACACCACAAACTGGCTTTTAAGTATAAAACCAGATTTACTAGAATAGTAGCTAGAATATAGATAGACTTGTAACCATTCAAGCAACAAAGGGGTCATGTGCAAAACAAAGCCTGGAGATACTGTAAACATGGAGTGGATAAATGTACAATTGTATCTTAACAAGTTACATGTGCAATAAATGTTATACAGACTGGATAAATGAACCGTTAAACAAGTAGCGTAAGTCCAATCACGGAACAGCAACCCCAGCAATAGCAAGGGTAGCAGACTGGAGAATGTGAAAAAGTTTCTCAAAGCTGTTTTTCAAAGATTGAACTGGATGAGATGTTCTTCAAGGGGTCTTGAGTTGGAAACACGAAGGCGTATGCATGGATCAATCACAGGAAGGCAAATCAAAGCCGCCACCCTGGTGAGAATAACGCGAGTGGGCAAAAGGAGACCTGTTCTAGTGGCGCTGTGGGTTAAACCACAGAGCCTAGGACTTGCCGATCAGAAGGTCGGCGGTTCAAATCCCCGCGACGGGGTCAGCTCCCATTGCTCAGTCCTTGCTCCTGCCAACCTAGCAGTTTGAAAGCATGTCAAAGTGCAAGTAGATAAATAGGTACTGCTCCGGCGGGAAGGTAAATGGCGTTTCCATGCGCTGCTTTGGTTCGCCAGAAGCGGCTTAGTCCTGCTGGCCACATGACCCAGAAGCTGTACGCCGGCTCCCTCAGCCAATAAAGCGAGATGAGCGCCGCAACCCCAGAGTCGTCCACAACTGGACCTAATGATCAGGGGTCCCTTTACCTTTTACCTCTCCGGATATATTACAGGTTTCGCTACACGCGTCATCAGTCACTGGATTACTGAATGGTATGAGAAGAGAAGACTCCCTGGAAAAGACCCTGATGTTGGGAAAGATGGAGGGCGCAAGGAGAAGAGGACGAGATGGTGGGACAGTGTTCTCAAAGAGGCCAGCATGAGTTTGACCCAAACATCCTATTTGACGCATCTCTCGGATTTGAACTGATTTAATGCCAGCATCTTCTCACGAGGAGTCGGACACGACTAAACGACTAAACAATAACGTGCCGCTGCTGTTGTCAAAACACCGGACCTTCCAGGGTCCAGTTTTGAGACTCGAGTATAAATCCCAAGATTACTGAGCCTCTTAAAAATATATATTTAAAAGGCCACCTGTGTTTTATCCATTGGGATTGTGCAAAAGGAACTCTGCAGATACTCAGAGACACTTTAAGTTTACCAGACGTCCCTGTTTCCCCAGTCCCCAGATTTACAAATCAGTCTCCATACGAAATCCATTGAAGTTGAAGAGTGTCCCCGGATTCATTGAAAAAAATCTGGTAACCTTACACTATGTGATTCTTATTATTCCAGCAACGTTCAGGGCCCAGCCTCGAGTGCCAAGCAGAAATCCTAGGCAAGGGAGCCCCCTTAAAAACCCCACTTGCTCTCTAGGTTTCCAGTTACCGTCTGAGAGCCAGTGTGGTGTAGTGGTTAAGAAAGGTGGACTCGTAATCTGGTGAACCGGGTTCGCTTCCCCGCTCCTCCACATGCAGCTGCTGGGTGACCTTGGGCTAGTCACACTTCTCTGAAGTCTCTCAGCCCCACTCACCTCACAGAGTGTTTGTTGTGGGGAGGAAGGGAAAGGAGAAGGTTAGCCGCTTTGAGACTCCTTCGGGTAGTGATAAAGCGGGATATCAAATCCAAACTCTTCTTCGTCTTCTTGGCAGAGATGTGCCCCACATCTGGTGGCAATCCCGATTCTGGGGTCCTCTTGATCGACATGGGTCCTTCGGCTCAAGGATAAGAAGCCTTTTCGCCTTCTCTTCTTATGCAGCGTGTCACACCCTTCGATTTGCAGCCTGCCTCAGAGCCAGTGTGGTGTAGTGGTTAAGAGCGGTGGGCTCGTAATCTGGTGAACCGGGTTCGCTTCCCCGCTCCTCCACATGCAGCTGCTGGGTGACCCTGGGCCAGTCACACTTCTCTGAAGTCTCTCAGCCCCACTCACCTCACAGAGTGTTTGTTGTGGGGGAGGAAGGGCAAGGAGATTGTGAGCCGCTTTGAGACTCCTTCGGGTAGTGATAAAGCGGGATATCAAATCCAAACTCTTCTCCTCCTCTTCTCTCTCTGCCTGACCGACCTCACAGGGTTGTTGTGAGGATGAAATGGGAGATGAAGTGTGGCCTATAAATTTAACATAAATTATAAAAATTAAAAAATGAATGCCACCTTGAGCTCCTCTGAGGGAACCTGGGATGTGAATAATTAAAACTAAAAATTCTTAATTCCACACCTTCTGGCCTTAAGGTGTCAAGTAAAATCTGTTCAAACCTACCATTTCTACTTTTATTTATTTACTTGACGGGAGAGCAGCTGCCCCCACTGGCTACTCCCATGCTTGAGCCCCTCTTAAACAGCCCCCCCAAGCCAACCCTCTTTTTCATCCATTGGGGAGGGTGAAAGGCACTCTGCACGGGCTCAGAGGCCCTGCTTCATTCTCCACACCTTCCAGGGCCCAAAACTGAGTGCCCAGAATAAATCCCAGGAAACCCTTTAACAATAAGCAAGCAAACAAACAACAGTAACGCGCACCATCATTTTCGCCATTAGGGCCAGGAGCTCTCTGCACACGCTCAGAGGCCCTGCTTCATTATTATTACTCCACACCTTCCAGGACCCAGAATAAATCCTAGGAAACAGCCCCTTTTACAAACAAACAAACAAGGCGCGCGTGCCTTTTGGACCTTAGGGCGTGCCCCGCTCTGCACGCGCTCAGAGGCACGGCCAGCCAGGCGCCCTCCCCCTCGCGGGGAGAATCCGACCACATTTTTATTTTTATTTCATAACAAACAAGCAAACCAGCCAACCAACCAAGAAGGCGCGGGTGCGTTTTTGCGCTTGGGGCTGGCCGCGCTCTGCGCGCGCTCAGAGGCACGGCCAGCCAGGAGCCCTCCCCTCGCGGGGAGAATCCGACCACATTTTTATTTTTATTTCATAACAAGCAAGCAAACCAACCAAACAATAACAACAACAAGAAGGCGCGCGTGCGTTTTTGCGCTTGGGGTTGGCCGCGCTCTGCAGGCGCTCAGAGGCACGGCTGCTCCGGGCGCCTTTCCCCGTCGCTCTCGATGATCCACAGGCTCCGCTCCTCCCTCTCGGCCCCGGAGGAGGGGGAAGCGCAGGCGGGAGGGAGGGAAGGAGGGAAGGCGAAGCGAGAGCGCCTCTGCCCGCCTCCTCGGGGCTCCTCCTTCCCGGGGCCTCCCCGTCTCCCTCCACCCTGAACCCGGAGCTCCGGCGAACTCCGGAGCCGACGGAAGGCGTCTCGGAGAAGCGGCGGAGACGCGCGCGCCGGAGAAGCAGCAGGTCTGGATGCGGGCAGGGAGGGGGCTGGCGTGGGGGGCTGGGGGGAGAGAGACGGAGGGTCCCCCCTCCCCGGGGAAAAGGGGCAGTGCCCAGGCAGCGCGCTCTGGAAGCGACAGCGCCCCAGGGCTGTGCATCAGCCGGCGTCGGGCTCTCCCTCCCTAAACGCCAGCTGGGCATCAACGTTGGCACAGCCCACAGTGCTAGATCTGAAGCAAGGATTCGTGGGGGGGGGGTTGGGGGGGTGCGCGCCGCCGCTGCCTCCCATCTCTCCTCCATGGGCACATCTGGGTAGCGGGAGAAGGGGGCACGGCGATGGGCGCAGCAGACCCGGGCGGGGAAGGTTGTCAGAAGTGAGTCAGGACGAGGAGGAGGGTGGTTTTTGGGGAGGGGGTATCGCGCCTGGGGGGGGGCGCCCGGGGGCATGGGAGCCAACCTCAAGGCGCCGAGGTCCCTTGGCTCCCCCAGTAAAATATTTGAGGGGGGTGGGCTCGACAAAGTTGATGGGCATTGCCATTCAAATGGTGGGCAGGCGCCATGTCTTGTGATTATGCGGGGCACGGCTTACCTGGGCAGACATACACCCCCCCCCCATATTTTATTCAAGTTGGCACCCCTGCCAGGGGGTGTCTCCTGGCTGGTGGGCAATGCCGGCTCAGTGCCAAAGCTGAACTAGGACGAAGAAGGGGCGCCCGGTTTGGTAGAAATTGGGTACCACCCAGTAAGGGGCACCCAGAGGGCATCCAGACAGAGCGGGCTGGAAGAGACCCACCCACCCACACTCACAAAGGGCACCAGTGGCATCAGGTGGGCGCTGGGCAGCTTTGAGGCAAGAGGGCGGGTGTTGGCAGCGAATGGGCCTTAGTGTGGGGCGGGCACGGTTTAGGGCACACTCAGAGAGAGAGAGAGAAAAGGCCCCAATCGAGACTGGGAAGGGGCACCTAGAGGCCATCAGGACCGCCCTCTGCCCTGGCACATAACGGCTTGTTCTCTGTGTGGGGAAGTTGGCAGTGCCAGAGCCGTGCGCGGGGAGGGAGGGAGGAAGAAGGCAGGCTGGATTTTGCTGTTCCAAGAGACTCGGCCTTCTGAGTGGTTGGCAGCAAGTCGGTTCGACAGTGCCCAGTTGGCAGGGTATCTTTTGGGGAGGGCAGGGGCCTGTAGCACCACGGCTCAGCCCTGGGGGCGAGGCCAGTTGGCCAAGAGGAGCAGGAGCCCCTAAGCGTGGGGCAGGCTCTCGCCGTTATTCCGCCACATGGAAGTCAAGAGACAACCGAGGCAGAAGGGATAATAGATGGGCCCAGGATTCGCCTGGCAGTGCCCGGTTTTGGGGGCAAGCTGCAGCAAGGCCAGGGCATGCCCGGTCGTGCCAAAGATACTGCTCTGGGGAAAGGGACACGTGGGTGGCGTTTGTGGGGGCGGGGAGAGCCTCCCCCCCAGTTGGCAGGGCTGATTCGCCGGCAACAACCACAGTCGCCAACTTTTCCTTTCAGCTGGCCTTGCGGTGCCTGGAAAAAGAACTGGTCCAACTGCCAACCCAACAGGCTTCTGCCTGCCTAAGCTGGGCTCTCTTCTCCCTGCCTCTTCCCATTTGGCGGTGTTGCCAACTCTTTTTTTGGTGCCCCTTCGGCCCTCCCCCTACGCCTTTAAGAGCTGCCCATGCTGCAAGAAAGGAGGGGAAGTGTGTGTGTGTGTGTGTGTGTGTGTCCCGTCCCCTCGTTTCCTCTGTAACACATGTGCCACAAAAGGCGCAGGAGCAGGGGCCAGGAAATGAAGTTGGCAACCCTATAATGGGGGTTTCCAAACTGGTGAGCTCCGGTGCGCCGTTTCGGTTTTGATTTGCGTGTGTGTTTCTTTGAAAGGTTCTGTTACGGCTTTCAGAAATCGCTGGGTCTTGATTCCTCGTGTTATTGATTATCTTATGTTATTGATCGTATCGCACAATTAGAGCCTATTGGATTATGTGGCTTTCTGATTGTGCTGCCGTACACTTTTAGAACAGGGGGACGTCATTAGTAGTAAAGGTAAAGGGACCCCTGACCATTAGGTCCAGTCATGGCCAACTCTGGGGTTGCGGCGCTCATCTCGCTTTACTGGCCGAGGGAGCCGGCGTACAGCTTCCAGGTCATGTGGCCAGCAGGACTAAGGCACTTCTTGCGAACCAGAGCAGCGCATGGAAAAGCCGTTTACCTTCCCGCCGGAGCGGTACCTATTTATCTACTTGTGCTTTGACGTGCTTTTGAAACTGCTAGGTTGGCAGGAGCTGGGACCGAGCAATGGGAGCTCACCCCGTGGCGGGGATTCGAACCGCCGACCTTCTGATCGGCAAGTCCTAGGCTCTGTGGTTTAACCCACAGCGCCACCCACGTAACAGGCACTTTCGGCAGGTTGAGTCTTCGTCCTACCCCCCCTTTTCCTTGCAAGGACTTTGGGGTAGTTTTAAGTTCCTCCCTCGGAACCTGACCTGGATCACAACGGCCCTTTGAGGTAGGCTAAGGACAGAGAGGAGGGGTCACCCCAGTGAATTTCATGCAGGGCTTGGGGGATTTTTGGCAGGGAAGCGCTGACAGCATAAACACTTTTAAAATCATGTATTTTTTTGGAGAGGCCTTTCTCTCTCTCTCATAACACTAGAAGTGAAGCTCAGTGTTGCAAAGATTCAGGACGGACCAAAAAAAAAAAATCCTCCATCATGCAGAGTTAGACTATGGAACTCCCTGCCACAGTAGCTGGCCGTGGCCATCAACGTAAAAGAGGATTGGGCAAATTCAAGGAGGAGGCGATTGATGGCTGCTAGCCAGGGTGGCCCTTTCTTCTTCCATGGCTGGAGACAGACAGATTTGGAAGGGGCTGCAGGGGGTCATCTAGTCTAACGTGCCTTAGGCTGGGCACATCTAAAGCATGCAAGGACCTCCTGGGAACTGTAGTTTGACCGCCACAGCGCTACAGTTCCCAGCACCAAACTTCAGTTACCAGTATTCTCTTTTTTTTGCGGGGTCGGGGGCAGAAATGTGCTTTATTATGGTGTCCGTGCAGCGCTTCGTCAAATACAGACCAGTGTCTGACTGGCAGAAGGGTTTCAGCAAAGAGAGCTCCCTCGTCATCTGCTTATGCCTTATGTGGAATGGTCGAAGGAGCTGGGTACTTTTAGCCCAGAGAGGAGCTAGAATCAAAAAGTGTAGAGAGGGGTCCCCAGCGGTCATCTAGTCCAACCCCCTGAAATGCGGGAATCTCCGCTCAAGCGTCCCTGACACGTGACCACCCAGCTTAAAAACCTCCAAGGAAGGAGAGCCCTTTTAACTTTTTTTTCTTTTCATTTCCCCCCCCAAAATTATTAGTTTTCACAATATTATAAACAAACACACAAGACAAGCAAACATAAATCATACCCTTATTGAAAATTACAGTTATTAACTTTGTTAAGTGACTTCCTCGCTTCCCCTTGGTTGAATTTCATTGCATATCCTTTTAACGCTTTTCCAAATCCCGATATTTATGAAATTTAACTTAAACCTTAACCTCCTTAGATCTTCACCTTATGGAATTAAACATATTAATTCATCACTTAACGTAAATAAAATCCTAAGCCCATTAGGTATCTGCAAGCTGTTTTCAGTTAGTTTAACTTAACAAATTTAACTAGATAATCATTAAATTTATTCCACTCTTCCTGATACTCCTTCTCCTCCTTCTGGTCGCGGACTCTTCTGGTTAGGTCGGCTAGCTCCGAAAAATCCATCATCTTCATCTGCCATTCTTCTATTGTTGGTAATTCTTGGGTTTTCCACTTTGTAGCTAACAAAATACGAGCAGCAAAATACGAGCCCTTTTAACTTTTAACCAGATCCTTTTAACCGGGGATCTAGCCAGGATTCGAACTCAGGACTTTCCGCACGCCGGGGGGTGCATTGCGCTGCGGAGCTGCAGTCCCAAACCAAGATTCCTCACGGTTCTGGAGCATTTAAAAACGGGATTGCAGGAAACTGTGACTTCTCGAGCCAGACCGTTGACTCATCGAGCTCAATATTGCCCACACGGACTGGCAGGAACTCTCTGGGCAATCACCCTGTCCTTTCTAGAGATGCCACTGCAGTTCAGACCTGGGAGAGTCTCTTCCTCATAGTCACTGCTGTTTTCCTCACCGTCATCTTCGTAGGCGGAAGTCAGTCTTCGACTCGCTGGGCTGAAATCGATGCCTCTACCTGCGCCGAATCGCGATATGGTCTGGACTATATGGTCCAGGGATTTAAGTGTGGCTTGTTGATATTATCATCATCATCACCATCATCTATTTTTCGCTCCATAAGACGCACCAGACCATAAGACACACCTAGTTTTTGGAGGAGGAAAACAAGAAAAAGATCTGAGTCTCAGAAGCCAGAACAACAAGACGGATCGCTGCGCAGTGAAAGTAGCAATCCCTCTTGCTGTTCTGGCTTCTGGGATAGCTGCGCAACCTGCATTCACCCCCTAAGACGCACACACATTTCCCCTTACTTTTTAGGAGGGAAAAAGTCAGTCTTATAGAGCAAAAAATACGGTATTATTATTATTATTATTTTGAAATGAAATTACGGGGTGCTCATGAAAAGCAAAGATTATTGTCCGTGATAGGTAAAAGTAAAGGTAAAGGGACCCCTGACCATTAGGTCCAGTCATGGCTGACTCTGGGGTTGCAGTGCTCATCTCGCTTTATTGGCCGAGGGAGCTGGCGTACAGCTTCCAGGTCATGTGGCCAGCAGGACTAAGCCGCTTCTGGCGAACCAGAGCAGTGCACGGAAACGGCGTTTACCTTCCTGCCAGAGCGGTACCTATTTATCTACTTGTGCTTTGACGGGCTTTCGAACTGCTAGGTTGGCAGGAGCAGGGACCGAGCAACAGGAGCTCACCCCGTCATTGCGGGGATTCGAACCGCCGACCTTCTGATCGGCAAGTCCTAGGCTCTCTGGTTTAACCCACAGCGCCACCCACGTCCCAATTGTCTGTGATAAATGGAGTTAAATGTA